GCCATTCAATTAACGGATTACGACAAGTAAATGATTGAGTTTAGCATTAGTATTAACATTAGAGACATGCAGCTGGTCCTGAGGTTTGACATATTCTAAGATATKACTCATAAATCGACCTAACATAATATCTATCTATCTTTCGAATACAAACATGGCAGGATGAGAAATTGAGAACTATCAATAATCAAGGAACTGAGTAATTGCAGTAAAACAAGCATTTTGATACTGACCTTGATTTTGGCCAACATGATCTTGAACCTGTCGAAGTCATTGAGGGCAGCTCTTCTCTTCTGCACTATCAACTTCCTACCCCATGAGCTCTTCTCCCACTTGCCCTTCACATCTACAAAAGTTTTACAGGTTAACAATAACCAGAGACGATACTTCAAAATGCAGACATAAGTATGTATGTAGTAAAACAGAACTCACCAGCTTTCTCCATTGCTTCAATCAGATTCTTCTTCTTAGGAACTCTGTTGATCTCAATAACAATGTCGGTAAGAGACAGCCTCTTCAAATTCATCTGGATTCTCTCCATGTCAGGTGCATCCACAAGAGCCTAAAAGTAAACAGAGACAGAACAATGAAAAACAATCAAACACTAAAGACATACACGAACGCTCTAACAAATACTCATGAACAAACATATTTCTTAGAAATGAAGCTTGTGAGTGCTCTTAATAGTAACAAAGGTCTCATGATACTACTCAAACAACAAAGGCTATTCATTTTCAGATACTTAATACTGAGCAAAGTATGAGAATGACAAGGCAATCAGATGCTACTACACACAGAATTAGGGAATCTTGATACAGTGAAAGCTTAAAACTTGCAGACAAAAAATGCATGAGCAATGCAGCTACAAATTTCAGAAGTAAATGACTCAGACAAAGACGTACAAAAATTTATCAGATCTACACACTTCTCTACTAAAGCAAAATCAATACTTTCTCTACAAATAGCTAATGGGTCGAACAAAAAATCAAGACTTACCCTGTTTTGGT